GAAGTTTATTAGGTGTATCACTATAAAAACAATAAAATCGGCAGCTTTTGTACAGCTGCTTATAAATTTGCTAAATGACACAAGTGTACAAAAGCGTTTTGCCAAAAGTTAACGCACAACAAAAAATGTGATCAGCGATGGCATTCAAACCTAATAGTGTGAAAGCTTTATATTGCGCAGCCAGCAATTGTTCGTGAGCTTAAGCACCTTAATGTGAATAAAGTTTTTGTTTATCACACAATGGTTCATTAAAATGATACTCGTACCATCGCAAAACGCCATGGAGGTGGTCATCAAAAGACTGCAACATCACTTAAGATGGTTTGGAAAGTGAAGAAGCGACTTGAGCTAAATCCACGAAAAAGTGCCAATCAAATGGCTAAAGAACTGAAAATAAATATCCGACTGCAGCATTAGCTGCATATTGAAAAATGAGCTCAAGGTCAAGCCTGACAAGTTCCAAAAAGCCCATGATCTCACACCGAAGCAGCAACAAGTAAGACTTCAGAGAGTGGTCGAAAGCGGTCAAATTCCGAATATTGTGTCTACACTTCGTGGGCCGGCCTCTGTATAAGCACAGAAAAGATAATTTGTGTTTCTCATTAATCGTAATAAATTAAGCGAACGAATGAAAAAGTTAAAAAAAGTGTAAGAAAGTATAGTCGTAAAATTTGCGTGGCCACGAGTGTACATTAGTCTTTCTTTACTGGCACAGTCGTTTATTCTTTTCGCTACGTGGCGCCAACAGGATATTCCAAGCGAAGATTGGACCCGAATCGCAGCACTCGTTAACGAGCGAAATTCATGTATTTTTTTGTTTCTTTTCTTATCGTTGTACTCGCTATCGAATACGCACTTTCGAAATTTAAAATTTTCTTATTCAATACAACATCAGAACTTGCCTCAATTATTTTGCCTAATTGTGGGCAAGGCAAAGTTGCAGCATATAAGCTGTGGGCCACCGATGAAAAATGTTATATCTTGGCGGAACTTAAGATCAACAAATAATATTAATTAAATAAATAAAGTAATAGATGATTAAAGTAATAATAAAATACAAAAATTGGTATAGGTAGCAGAAGAACAACTCCTCCAAGCTACGGGGATAGATGTTGCAGTAGAAGGGTTGACAATAGTTAAATCTTTTGGAAATATAGTGCCCGAAGAAGGTTTAAATGAGTTGGTAGGGTTGATTATTAATAGCAAGGAAGAAGAAGAAACCCATTGTCGAAAGGAAAAAGCTTTCTCTTTTAAAATCCAATTTACGCGCATATGAAGCAACGCAAGCCCAAATCAATAAAATATTGAGAAACTAATTACTTTGAGGGAGAGATCGCTGTAAATAAAAGAAGAGATACATAAAGCAAATGTGCAAGTAAAAGCTGTGGAGTTGCAGATTTAAACTTATGAGCTTGATATTTTAAAGAGAAAAGTTCTGAAATAAACAATAATATATACGATATGTTAATTGCAAGTTCCTGTTTTTATTGATATATATTTATTAAAACAAACTATGAATTCAAATGTTGTTGGAACGTTTATTCAATTATTATCTAAAGACAACATAACATGATCTCTAAACTGATGACCAATTTTTTAATTGCGTCTCATTTTCCATATCTATTACTGTATCATAGCTGGGTTTCATTCACAAAACATATATCGAATTAAATTGTATACAAATGTTAATCAAGGCTGAACTTTGCGATTGTTTCAGGACTATACCGACCTCTTTTATCATTACTGAGAATTTTCCACCGGTCTTTCAATATACCATAGTTCGTTCAGGAATACAGCGTGCTTTTGCATAGATTTCATAAAATCGTGCTTGTCACTAGCTAAATTGGGGGTTTCTAAATAGTTTCAAACACCATGGTTCCAAAGGATATCCAGAATTTCCTGTTAATTGAGATACGTCTGTAATATGTTTTTTGTATCTGTATAAGTGCATATATTATATTACCCAAAAGCCAGGCATTTTTCATAATGTTTTGATTATATGCTTAGGGTAAACTTTTTCTGCCTGCTAAAACTAAATTTAGTAAATTTATTTATAAAGGTATAATAAATTTGAATATTTACGTTCAATTCAAATTCATATACTTTTTCTTTTGTTTTGTTTCGTATTTAATGTTTTTCGAAAATGTCATTTAGAGCTACACCAGGGAAGTTATTTCATAAAATTTGTATTCATTTCGTATTGAGTGCGACGATTCGCACACACGACACTTTGCGAAATTTTACTCGATACGATTACTTGCTCGCTCACGACTGCCCCGATGCAGGTCCAGGCTCTTCTCCACCGGACTGGAGGTGTTCCTCTTCCTCTGCCTCCCCTGGCGGGATGACCGAGCCAGCGTAGCCGTTGTCTTTTACTTCACTGAACTATCAATGTCGTAGATATTCGCTATGTCCAACACGCAAAGGACCATAAATCTTTCGCAGAACTTATCTCTCAAAAACTCGCAACGTCATCGTTTAAGCCTCTACACCATAAAACAGGACGGGAATTATGAGTGACTTATAGAGTTTGATTTTTGTTCATCAAGAGAGGACTTAACTTCTCAATTGCCTACTCAGTCCGAAGTAGCACCTGTTGGAAAGAGTTATCACGCGTTGAATCTCCAGGCTGACTTGTTGGTGGTGTTTATCCGGTTCCAAGATACGATTTCAAAGTTATGACTGTCAGCAATGATTTGAGAGCCAAGTCGTGAGTGCGACGACTGTTTGTTTGATGACAGGAGATATTTCGTCTTGCCCTCCTTCACTGCCAGACCCATTTGTTTTGCTTCCTTGTCCAGTCTGGAGAAAGCAGAGCTGACGGCGCCAGTGTTGAGGCCAATGATATCAATATGTAGCTTGAAGAAGCCGCACGATAGAGAGTCGCTTTGTCTGAAACCTCATTTGGTATCGAACGGCTCGGAAAGATCCTTCCCGATCCTGATAGAACTTCTAGTGTTACTCAAAGTCAGTTTACACATCCGTATCAGATTTGCGGGAAAACCAAATTCAGACATCACGGAATAAACGTATCTCCTTTTCGTGCCGTCGAAAACAGCTTTGAAATCCACGAAGAGGTGGTGTGCGTCGATTCTCCTTTCATGGGACGTTTTCTGTGATTTATTATGGTGAATATCTGGTCGGTTGTTGATGTGCCAGGTCTAAATGATAATTCCTTCTTTGCACAAAAAAACAAACAATCCCAGAATTTGAATCTCCGATTACCGGAAAAAAGTGTTAAAGTAAAGAAAGTTTGAATTAAAAAAGAAAATGAATTACGTCCTTCAAAATTAATACGGCATCAATCATAATGATAATTAAAATATTTTGGTGAAACAACGTTTGGTAGTTGTTTGGTATGGAATCACTAATTTGCTACAAAAGTATAAATCAGTCAATTTATGTTACTAAGCTTCTAAAAGAACGAAGCGTATTAAACAAAGTGTATGCCACCATGATTTTTTTTTTGCTTTCAGTGGTTCTCTCTAATAAAAATGGCGACTGTTGTAGTAGCGAAGTAAAAATTGTAAGTTTACTTATTCAAACAATATGGGAAAGCATAAAGTTTTATTACAAATTAAACTACCGAATAGAAATCTTAGTTTTCTTTTATTTTAAGTAATTTACATTTAAGAAGCATATATAAAATATTATATTAAATACGTTATTGTTTTTATCTTATTTACAGTGTTACGTTGTATGCCGAATTTCTCCCTTCAAAACATAAAGGAAAATGCGTAATTCTAATGGATGTAAGTAACTATAACTCCAAAGGTAAAACTTTTTGTAAATTCATTTGTCCTGGAAAGAGGTAAGGAAAAAGGGGGCCTGCTTTAGAGACTTCAAAAAATCGATTTTTTTGATAATTTTTTTGGGAAAGAAAGAAATAAGTGATTAAAGCGAAATTTCTAGGGTTTATAGTTATATGTTTAAACATCATTCACAATTTTTTTTGGATACGGAATCTTTGATATTCTGCCTTTGGAAAGCATTTGTCCGATGCATCTCACATGTGCATTTGTCTTACGGCGGGCAGGATGCAGGTCAAAGGTTCAAAGAGCTTCATATTTTTTAATAATTTATCTTCAAATAAATAAAACTAAAAAAATTACAAAACAGTGTAAAATTTTAAAATTTGTTTAAAAATTTAAAAAAGTGGTTTTTGACCAAAAAAATTTTATTTTATGTTGTTTAAAAATATGTTCAAACTTGACTTTTCTTAGTTTTTTTTAGTTTAAATAGAAAATAATTTAATGGCAAAGATAATAAACTTTGCCCCCATTCCATATGACGTTTAGTTTTTTGTCTATCCTGCCCGCCAATTAAGAAAAATCTTAAAATGAAAAAGTTTTCGCTTTCTGCCCAATCGCTCATATATCTGCTAGACGTTCGGTCTCTATTTCCTTCTAGCTTCGTAAATATTTCAAATTCCAATCTGAAACTTTGGGGACGTGTTCTTAGATATTTTTAAAGAGAATTTAGCAAAAAAAAAAATACATTTTTTGAAGCTTCTAAATCAGCTTCTAAATGAACTTTTATTTTTTTTTAAATGGTTCTACGCTTTCGTAGAACACTCTCCAACAAGTCCTTTTAACTTTGCTAATGCACACTTAAGCAGAGCATGATCCACTTTATATAGTGCCTAGTTGGCGCATGTACGGTCAATATGTTTCTCTTCTCCTTAAATTTTGAACAACTTATGTACTACTATGAGCAAAATATTGTAGGACTTTGTTCATAAATTTAAAATTCCTTATTTTTTCCTCAAGATCTAGCCAACGTTTTTCCGATCCTTGAAATATTTGTTAAAGTCAACTGTCCAGAATAGCTTTCAATGCGCTTAGCAATTCACGTTTAATGTCTTCAATTGGCTCAAAGCGGCTGAAATCAGCCGAATACGGTGGTTGGGGCACGATATTATTTGAAAATTTGGCGAAAAACTCATGAAGAATAGTATTCCTTGTTGACTCCTCCTCCTTGTTGGAGGATGGAGTCATGTGTAGAAGTTCACGCAAGAACGCAAAGGACGCCCCCAATGAAAAATTTTCAACAGCCTCGGATGAGAGACCTCCCTTGGGCAAACGAATTAACGACTATGATTTGAGGGCATTCATCTGGAATGTCCGTTCTCTTAATTGGGAAGGTACCGCTGCCCAGCTGGTTGATGTTCTCGTGAAAATAAAGGCTGACACCACCGCCGTCCAAAAAATTCGATGGACGGGACAAGGGCAGAGACGAGTAGGTCCTTGTGGCATTTACTAAAGTGGTCATATAAAGGAGCGGAAGTTTGGTGTGGGATTCGTGGTGGGAGAGAGACTCCGTCGCTGAATACTATAATTCACACCGGTGAATGAACGTCTAGCCACAATTCGCATCAAAGCGAGGTTCTTCAACATATCGCTGATTTGCGCCCACGCCCCGACGGATGAGAAGGACGATATGACCAAAGATGCCTTTTATGAGTGCTTGGAGCTCCCTTATGAGAGCTGCCCCCGCCACGATGTCAAAATCGTGATTGGCGACTTTAACGCTAGAGTGGGTAAAGAAGGTATCTTTGGCACTACAGTCAATAAATTCAACCTCCACGATGAAACATCCCCAAATGGATTGAGGCTGATAGACTTCACCGGGGCCCGAAATATGGTTATCTGTAGTACTAGATTCCACCATAAGAAGATTAATCAAGCTACCTGGCTGTCTCCGGATCGAAAAACCACCAACCAGATCGATCACGTTGTGATAGACGGAAGACACGTCTCCAGTGTTTTAGATGTGTGTGCGCTCCGAGGTCCTAACATCGACTCGGACCACTATCTTATTGCAGACAAGATTCGAAACCGAATCTGTGCAGCAAAAAACGCACGCCAACAAACACAAGGAAGATTCGACGTCGGGAAGCTGCAATCACAACAGACACTCGAACGATTTTTTACTCGGCTTGCACTCCTGCTCTCTGAGAGCACTCGTCAACAACTCGGTATAAGGGAGCTGTGGGACGGCATTTCAAACTAATTACGTACAGCTGCAACCGAAACCATTGGTTTTCGGAAAGTGCAAAAGAACAGCTGTGTCACAGCGGCCTACCTCACAACGTTATGATCGACCACAACTCGTGCGGTATGGGATAGATACCGAGAGTTGAAGAGGGAAGCGTGACGCATTTGCAGACAGAAAAAGAATGAGGCCGAAATGCGTGAGTATGAAGAGCTTGATAAGCTGGCCGACAGGGGTAATGCTCGAAAATTCTACGAAAAAAATGAAGAAGGTTTTAAGATCGGAGCATACTCTTGTAGAATCCCCAAAGGTGATCTAGTCACCGATGCCCAGAGAATAATTATATTACGGAGGGAACACTTCTCCAGCTTGCTGAATGCCATTGAACGCACAATGCCTGGAAAAGGCGAACCTGATTCCCCAATCGATGACGATGGAACAGACGTTCCATTGCCCGACTATGAAGAAGTTCGAATAGCAATTACCCACCTGAAGAACAACAAAGCGGCGGGGCCCGATGGATTGCCGGCCGAGCTGTTCAAACACGTCGGCGAAGAACTGATGAGGAGCATGCATCAAGTTCTTTATAAAATATAGTCGGACGAAAGCATGAACAACGATAGGAATTTAGGTGTGCTATGCCCAATCCTCAAAAAAGGAGACCCCACAATGTGCGCCCACTAACGTGTGATAAGCCTCCTCAATATCGCATATAAGGTTCTATCGAGCGTATTGTGTGAATGATTAAAGCCAACCGTCAACAAACTGATTGAACCTTATCAGTGTGGACCTGGAAAATCAACAACCGACCAGATATTCACCATGCGCCAAATCTTGGAAAAGACCCGTGAAAGGAGCATCGACACTCACCACCTCTTCGTCGATTTCAAAGCTGCTTTCGACAGCACGAAAAGGAGGTATTATTATGCCGCGATGTCTGAATTTGATATCCCTGCAAAACTAATACGGCTATGTAAACTGACGTTGAGTAACACCAGTAACACCTCCTAGCCGTTCGATACCAAACGAGGTTTCAGATAGGGTTATATTGATATTGATATAATCGGCCTCAAAACCCGCGCCGTTAGCTCTGCTTTCTCCAGACTGGACAACGAAGCAAAACAAATGGGTCTGGCAGTGAACGAGGCAAGACGAAATATCTCCTGTCATCAAACAAACAGTCGTCGCTCTCGCGACTAGGCTCTCACGTCGCTGTTGACGGTCATAACTTTGAAGTCGTAGATAATTTCGTCTGTTGATGTCAATTGAGAAGCGAAGTCCTCTCTCGATAAACAAAAACCAAACTCTATAAGTCACTCATAATACCCGTCCTGCTATATGTGCAGAGGCTTGACAACAACTGATGAGTCGACGTTGCGAGTTTTCGAGAGAAAAGTTCTGCGAAAGATTTATGGTCCTTTGCGCGTTGGCCACGGCGAATATCGCATTCAGAACATTCAGCACAGAACGATGAGCTGTACGAGATATTATATATGAAGACACAGAACGATGAGCTGTACGAGATATTATATATGAAGACATTGATATAGTTCAGCGAATTAAAAGACAGCGGCTACGCCGGCTAGGTCATGTTGAATGGACGAAAACACTCCAGCTCTGTAAGTTTTCGACGCTGTTCCCGCCGGGGGAAGTAGAGGAAGACCTCCACTCCGTTGGAAGGACCAGGTGGAGAAGGACCAGGTGGAGAAGGACCTGGCTACGCTTGGAATATTCAATTGGCGCCACGTAGCGAAAAGAAGAAACGACTGGCGCGATGTTGTTAACTCGGCTATAATCGTGTAAGCGGTGTACTCAAACGATACCAGTAAGATCTTTGACTGTTAATCGTCGATTCGAAAGCATCAATTTCTTCATTTTATTGACGTGTAGATCACCAATTGTTATTGATGGCAGTCCCGGAAGGGGTTTGTCGTCGAAGCGTTCTCTACCCTCTTTAAATATTTTTTACCAATCAAAAATCATTGTCACCGAAGGTCCAAAATTCTAATACTTAATGGAACTTCTTTTTTGAATAATTTCACTCATCTTAAATGCGTTGGATGTATATAATATAATAATATTAATAATATTTCGACGACATTTCATTTGAAAGCAAAAAAAACCGAGTTAACTTGTACTTTGAAAGTAAATAGGAAAAACCGATCGATTCTAAGTGATTCTAAAATCTGACTTCAACTACAGCACTTACTTTTAGTTGAAAGCTCTGTTTATTAAACTGTTTATACATATATGTGTACATACATAGAATAATATTAATATTCTGATTAGACATTACTGAATACATAAGTATATGCCACGTAAGAATTACTCATTAAAATACTCCACTTAGGTCTTGTTTAAATGTTCTCGGATATTTGTAAACTTTTCAGGTTTGTTACATATATATTCTGACATTGCGATGTACCATTAGGGGTATTCCCTTGCTCTCGCAAGGTTGCAGATTTCAAAAATCCTATGCCGAAATATTTAAGGGCACGAGAGCACCCATCGCAGAATTTAGTCATATATCAACGGCTGATTCGGTCAATTTATTGTAAATGACTATTTTGCATGACTATTGTGAATTGGCGCACCTTCTGCATTCATTCTTAAGGTTTGTATTCAGCTCTCAAGTAATTGCTCAAGAACAAGAATACATTATTTCTCAAGTAATTTTGACAGCTGGTTACGCATTGTGAATGATCCACATTAGAAGAGCATGAGCGAATTAACAAAGAAAATAAATTTTGTGCGTATT